TTGAAACTTGCCCTATAGGAGGCTCCTCAGTTTGGGCTAAGCTTCTTTCGATACCTGGCTCAAGACCTAACAATAAATTCAAAAGCTTATCCATGCTGATGGGTTTTAAATCCTAAAATGTCGTCTTTAGATCTAATATGTATTATCCTATTGAGTCACTAGGGTCTTACGTTTCAGTTCCTTCAAACAGATGAATGATTTTCATTAGAGCTGCTTGGTGGCATCAGTTAATTCAGCTGATGTGCATTGCTAGTGATGAACTAACCAATCTGACAGTCCAGACAATAAACACCAGAAATGCTGTGTTATCAGTTCCAGTATAAACTTGGTGTAATGCCTTTGATTTGTATCCTGACCTACTGTATATAACCTTGCTCTGCGTGTCTGCTTGCAGTGCAACGTATTCTGACGGTCACTGACCTTTTTCTCTCCGCTAAAGACACCTTTGATTGTTTTTCTGATTTCTTTCTATAAACTCCCTGGACTCAATGCTAAAACAAAGTAGCAGCTAATAGCTTATTGAAGACTCCGATCCAGTAGAGCCCCAGGCAACGTCTCATTATATACCACATGGAGTTTCACAATCTGTGACAACTACTTTGAATGAACATTGCTTTATATATTTATTTACATGAAGGGTTAAGGATCTCTATTCCCCTGTCTGGAAATGATTCCATATCACCGAGCGTGTTTGTTTTATTTGCTATAGCTGTGTTATAAATCGTGCTTGGCTTTGCCTTTTTAGCTCTATACTCTATATCAGGGGTTCCCAATTAATTTTCCCCATGGAACCCTTTGACATAGTGTATCAACATTGTGGAACCCTCCCCTCTCCGTTTTTTTTATGTGCCGGTGTGTGTCAAGGAGTATATATCTGTGCTTGTATATGCCAGTTGTATATCTGACACACAGATACAGATACACACACACACAATGTGTGTGTGTGTGTGTGTGTATATCTGTGTGTCAAGGTGTGTGTCTGTGTTTGTATGTGCCTGTGTGTATGAATCTGACACACAGATACACACACTGGCAGATAGTGGCACACAGATACACACACTGACAGATACACACACACACACACCTTGACACACAGTGTGTATCTGTGTGTGTATGTGTGTATGTATCTATCTGTGTGTCAAGGTGTGTGTATTTGTATGTGTCAGTGCAGTGGCGTACACATGACCCATGGGGCCCCGGTGTGAAAATTGATCCGTGGGCCCCCCACTGCGCGCGGGCCGGGCCGCAACACATGGCGGTGGGCACCTGGTCGCAGGGGTTACAGGGCTGCGACCCCTGCGACCGCGGTATGTACGCCAGTGCATGCAGATGCACACACACTTAAAGGACCACTCTAGGCACCCAGACCACTTCAGCTTAATGAAGTGGTCTGGGTGCCAGGTCCAGCTAGGGTTAACCCATTTACTCTTGAGTATGTTTTCCTGGCACTATAGTGATCCTTTAAAGGACCACTACAGACACCCAGATCACATCAGCTCAAGGAAGTTGTCTGGGTGTCAGGTCCCTCTAGTTTTAACCCTGCATCTGAAAACATAGCAGTTTCAGAGAAACTGCTATGTTTCACTGAGGGTTAATCCAGCCTCTAGTGTCTGTCTCACTGACAGCCGCTAGAGGAGCACACTGAACGTCCATAGGAAAGCATTGAGTAATGCTTTCCTATGGGCGGTTTGAATGCGTGCGCGGTCGCATTCGGAGCTGAGAGGCTGAGGGATCCCCAGCGCCAAGGGAGTCCGGCGCTGGAGAAAGGTAAGTGCTGAAGACACACAGACACACACTTACAGACGCATACACACTAGCTAACAGAGACACACATTTACTGACAGAGACACAGTCAGCGACAGACATACCTACACTCACTTACAAAACATACACTCTCATTGACAAACACACACTCACTAACAGACATCAAACAGACTCACTAACACACACACTCAGTAAGACACACACAGTAACACACTCACTGACACTCACTAGCAGACACACACACTCACACTAACACTCACTAGCAGACACACACACTAACACTCTAACACTCACACTAACACTCACTAGCAGACACACACACTAACACTCACACACACTAACACTGACACACACTAACACTCACTAGCAGACACACACTAACACTCACTCTAACACTCGCACACACTAACACTCACTAGCAGACACACACACTAACACTCACACACACTCAAACACTAACACTTCTTTTTTATTTTTTATTTTTTTATTCAATCCCCCCAGCCTCCTTACCTTTTGGAGTGCTGGGGGGATTCCCTGGGGTCCAGTGGTGCTGCTGGGCTCCTGGGCGGGTGGCCGGTCGGGCAGGTGGGCGCGCGAGAGAGCACTCAGTGCTTCCTCTTCAGCTCCGCCCGGCGTAGGGATGCCGGCGCCGGAGGAGATGGCGTCATCTTCGGCTCCGTATCAGTGCGATGCGCGAGGGAGCTGAAGTCTCTCCTCGCCACGCCTGCCGCCCGGAATGTGTGTGTGACAGCAGGGCCAGCCTCGGGGGCCCTGAGGTGGCCGGCTCCTGGGCCCCCCAGGGGAAGAGGCTGGCCCTGTGGGTACATACCGGGTCGCAGGGGTGGCCAGGCCCCCTGGTGGGCCGGGCCCGGTCGCAGCCGCGACCCCTGCGACCCTGGTATGTACGCCACTGTGTCAGTGTGTATGAATCTGACACACAGATACACACACACACACACACACATACACACACTGACACAGATACACACCTTGACACACAGTGTGTATCTGTGTGTGTGTGTGTATGTATGTATGTATCTGTTTGTCAAGGTGCGTGTATCTATGTTTCAAAGTGTGTGTATCTGTGTTTGTATGTGTCTGTGTATCAAGGTGTGTGTATCTGTGTTTGTATTTGCCAGTGTGTATGAATCTGACACACAGATACACACTGGCAGATAGTGGCACACAGATACACACACACACACACCTTGACACACAGTGTGTATCTGTGTGTGTGTGTATGTATCTATCTGTGTGTCAAGGTGTGTGTATTTGTATGTGTCAGTGTGTATGAATCTGACACACAGACACACAGATACACACACTGACACAGAAACACACTGTGTGTCAAGGTGTGTATCTATCTGTGTGTGTGTGTGTGTGTGTGTGTATGTCAAGGTGCGTGTATCTATGTTTCAAAGTGTGTGTATCTGTGTTTGTATTTGCCAGTGTGTATGAATCTGACACACAGATACACACTGGCAGATAGTGGCACACAGATACGCACACCTTGACACACAGTGTGTGTGTGTGTGTATGTATCTGTGTGTCAAGGTGTGTGTATCTGTGTTTGTATGTGACGGTGTGTATGTCTGTGTTTGTATGCGCCAGTGTGTGTGTATCTCTGTGTCAGTGTGTATATGTATCACACACACACTGGCACACAGATACACACTGACACACACTTTTACACACAGTTACACACACTCAGATACACACTGACACACACATCTTGACTAACAAATACACACACACACACTCAGATACACACAGTGACATATACACACTGACAGGATATACACACACAGGCACATACAAACACACTGATACATACTGGCACATACACACACACTGACACACACACACTTTGACAGACACACATACACTCTCACTGACAAACATACACTCTCATTGACAAACACACACTTTTTGACAGACACACATACTCTCACTGAAACACACACTCTTTGACAGACACACATACTCTTTTACAGACATACACTCTCACTGACAAGCACACATTCACTCTCACTGACAAACACATAAACACATACAAACTCCCTAACAGACACACATACAATTTTTTAAAAAACATTTTACTCCACACAGCCCCCCTATCTTTAGGAGTGCTGGCATGGAGTCCCTGGGGTCCAGTGGGGCTGCTGGCATGAAGTCCCTGTGGTCCAGTGGGGCTTGCTGCAGCTTGGCACAGGGCGGTCGGGAGGTCTGGCAGACAGGTGAGCGGTGGAGGTGGGTGGCGAGGGAGTTGTGATCTCCCTGCTCAGCTCCCTCGCGCGCCTCTTTAGGATGCCGGAGCCGGAGTGATGTCATATTTGTCCAATGGGTATGCCTTCCCTCTGCCTATACCACCTCCAGGCCGGTTTGGAATCTTGGGATTAATGCAGAAGTTATAAATCTAATGATGTGCAAATAACTAGTGTGCTTACTGGTGGCCGGGATCTCATTTTGAGTAAGTCACCATCTTTCCTTGCCACAGCCCCTGTGTGGTTGGTGTCAAGGGGAGTTTAAAAAAAAATAAAAATAATAATTTTCAGTATAGTGCAGACAAATAGTGAATTTTAACCCTTACAGTGCTAGAATGCTTGGAGAAGTGTAAAATTACACAACGATAAGGCAAAAAAGTGATCCCAGGCTGGAGTGCCCAAGGAACACAGAAAAGGAGTTCTCTGGGTGTTGCAAGTAAGAATTAGATAAAAACACTTTTATTGTAGGACATGAATTCCCAAGAAAAAATAATAAAGTAAAGTCAAAATAATAAGACACCTAAAAAAAATCCCAACACATCTAGAAAATAGCCAGGAGGAGAACTATAGATTCTAATAGTTTTGTGAGGATGAGGGTAGACAGGTATTGAGAGGTGCTGAGAAGTAGACAATTATGCAGTATACTGAGCAGTGTGCTTCCGTTCTTAATTACTACATATCTCCAGCACTAGAAAGATGGATGAGTGGCATACTCTGTCCAAATAGAGTCTGTAGATGGTGAATAAGGAACTTGCAATACACTTAAATTCTGGAATATAAACTTCAGATCAATGACTGAATTTAAAAACGGTGTATGAATCTCTCGAACTCTCGAACTTATAAACCAGCCACTAGTAATATTTATAGTACTTAAAGAATGAACTGAAAAGCTACACACATAAGCTCATAAGGACTGTCTAGTAGTGATGTCCCGAACGGTTCAGCGAACGGTTCGCCGCGGACTCCAGTCAGCAGACACATTCCAGCCAATCAGCAGCAGACCCTCCCTCCCAGACCCTCCCACCTCCTGGACAGCTCACTAAGAATGCAGCTTCAAAATGGATGCTGTCCAGGTGGCGGGAGGGTCTGGGAGGGAGGGTCTGCTGCTGATTGGCTGGAATGTGTTTGCTGACTGGAGTCCGTGGCGAACCGTTCGGGACATCACTACTGTCTAGTAATAAGTACTTTCTATCAGCTACCTTGCTCAAACATAACCTGAAAAAACCCTATACGTCCCTAACTGAGAACAGCCATAACTAAAAAGCTATGATTAATCTCCTAGTATATCCTCCATACCCTGTGTACACTACAAACCGTGGCTTGATATTAAAATAAATAAAGCATAAGTTCTAACGCATGTTTCGGTGCTACTAGAGCACCTTTGTCAAAGGTGTTAAATTATGATCACGTTTAAAAATGTAAAAAAAAAATCAGCATAACTGCTAACAACTGTATTGATTAGGAGAAGAAACTATTCAGGGGCAGATCTGAAAAGAGACTTGCGTCCATCAAGTTCAGCCTTCCTCATATATGTTTTTGCTTTTGATCCAAAAAAGGCAAAAAACCCAGTCTGAAGCTCTTCCAATTTTGCAACAAACTAGGAAACAATTCCTTCTTGACCCCAAAATAGCAGTCAGATGTTTCCTTGGATGTTTCCTTGGATCAAGCAGCTATTACCCCACTAATTAGAAATTATATCCCTGTATGTTATGTTTTTGCAAGTATTTATCCAATTGCAGTTTAAACATCTGAATGGACTCTGACAAAATCACCTCTTCAGGCAGAGAATTCCATATCCTTATTGCTCTTACTTTAAAAAAAAATCTTTTCTTTGCCTTAGATGAAATCTCCTTTCTTCCAGCCTAAATGTGTGACCTTTAGTCCTATGTATAGTAAAACAGGAAGAAAGGTAGCGCCAAAATAAAACGAAAAAATAAATAAAATAAATAAATAAATAAAATAAAATGAGTCCCAATATATGTTGGAGGGTAGAAGTGTCTGTTCCACAATTTCCACTGGTAAATTGTTTCCTCTGTCTGTGATACTTCAGATCGTCTCGTGATATGGAAAACACAAAGGGAAAGGACCAATCGTGCAGAATGTATAAAATGTGTAGATATAAAATAAGAAGATGAATTACACTCACATTATCATGAGCTATGACCAGCTCAGGGGTAATGGGTTTTCAGCAGAATAATCCCTGCTTGTAGGATATAACGAATGCTTGTCCTCTTGGAGTATGACGGTGTCCAACTCTCAGGAAAAGGAAAAATAGGAACAACCAATAGTGCTCTCTGATAATATAATGTGGTATAAAAATAAAAAGAATAGGAAATATACTCACAAATAGAGTGCAGATATCACTGCACTTGGAATGTCGCGTGGGCGGTATAATCCCCACCTCAGGATATATATAAAATGCCAGGAAATAGGTAGTAAAAAAAGGTTATGTGTAAAAATAATAAAATAATAATATAGATGGCACAAGAATATAGCCAAACTTAATTTATTATTTAAAATACACAATAAAAACCATTAACGCGTTTCACCACTAGGGTTTTATCAAAATGGTATAACATGAGAACCTGGCAAGAATAAAATATATATAGGGACACTAGTACTTTAAAAATTGCGCCAAAAACAGCATCAATTAGCTTTAACCAATCAGAATCAAGCATAATGTTCATGGATAACAAAACTTTGAGAAGCACATAAAACAGAGATTGTAATGAGTAAGAATGAAAATATGTGTATCACAATCATATTATGCATTATACATATGAAAAACGAAGCTTTTAGTTGGAATTAAATATTGTTGTAGCGCGTCACGTGACCCGCGTGGCACTATGGGAAATGTAGTGCGCGGGTCACGTGATCGCACACAGACATTCATATTAGCCGTCCCAGCAATGGGCGGTGTAAACGTCTTGGAGGCGGGTGCGTGTGACGTCACGTGACCCGCGGCATACACAAGCAGTGTAGTGCACGGGTCACGTGATCGGCGCTTTGGCGCCTGGGAAATGTAGTTAGATGGGAAAACGAGCAGAATATGGAAAATACACTGCATATACTTAGAATAACGATCATATTAAAACACAATCATAATGTACATAAGACAGGCAAGTAAATAAAAGAAAAACCACTGATAAGAGACATACAAAAGGGTATCAGCATAAATAATCCTCATATGATAATGAGTTAATATAATAGCAGCATATTTATAAGCACATATATGAGTAAAAAATATATATAAAAAATATATAAAATATATATCTCAAGGGATAACAAGAAATACATACATGTTTTAGTGATAACATGTATATATATATTATAATTAAAATATCTATAGTGTGGTCAGATTGGGGGTATCCTAGACTATAATGCCGTAGGTAACAACTATGAATAGGATAGCCCCAAAATGACAACAATAAGGAAGATAAAGATAAAGTGAATAAAATCATAAGAAGTTAAATAAATCAAAATCCACATTTAAGCCTTGGGGGGCTAACGTCTGTAGATTAAATACCCACTCCATCTCATTTTTACCTAAAATATTTTGTATATTGCCACCTCTCCATGGGACTTTGCATTTTTTTATTCCGATACATTTAAGAAATTTAGGATCCCGATTGTGTTTTTCAAAGTGTTTTGATACAGAGTGGTTGGCATAACCATTTTTTATATTTCGGCAGTGTTCTGCTAATCTTGTTTTAAGGTATCTGGTAGTCATACCCACATATTGGAGGCCACAAGGGCACTCCAATAGGTAGATAGCATTGGTAGTGTTACATCCAATAAAATCTTTTATAATATAGTTTTTGTTAGTTACATTCGATTTAAAACTGGTAACTTTGGAATGGGTAGCGGGATTAGTACTTTTACACACAATACAACGTTTACATCTATAAAAACCCGTCATTCCATTAAGAAAAGTAGGTTGTGTATTTTTAACTTCTCTGGTATAGTTATTGGTTAAGATAGATCTAAAATTGGGTGCACTTCTAAAAACAATTTTTGGCTGAGTCGGTAATGTTTCTTTAAGGAGATCATCTTGTCTTAGGAGGTGCCAGTGTTTTTTAATCGTTTTTTTGATAAAACCACTTTTATTATTATAGTTAAAAATTATAGGAAGGGTAGGGGCTTCTGAGATATTTCTATCTTTATAAGTTAAAAGGTTTTCTCTGGGTTTGTTCCTTACTGTTTCTATAATGTTATCTAATTGTGTGGATGAGTAGTTTTTTTCAATAAACTGATTTTTTAAAAACAATGATTGTTCATTAAAGTCATCAATGAGAGAGCAATTTCGACGCATACGTAGAAATTGGCTTTTGGGGGCGCTCTCAAGCCATGGCTTGTAGTGACAGCTAGTCAGATCAATTGCTGTATTGGTGCATACTTTTTTAAAAAATGTTTTTGTATGTACTACTCCTTCTTTGATAAAAATACTTAAGTCTAGAAAATTAATTGTATCTCTACTGTACTCGGATGTTAAAACAATTCCTCTATTATTTGAGTTAAGATGTGAAATAAAAGCATTAAGTGAATCTTCCGAACCTTTCCATATAAAAAACAAATCATCAATATATCTAAAATAGGAGACCAGGTTTTGCTCCCATGCATGCCGCCCCCAAATGGCACTGGATTCCCAGTCGGCCATAAAGAGGTTGGCATAGCTGGGGGCAAGCCTGGTCCCCATAGCTGTTCCTCTCTTTTGGAGGTAAAAAGAGTTAAAAAACCAAAAATAGTTATTATTTAAAATTATATTGATGCCTTCCACAATAAAATCAATCTGAGTCTCTGGGACTCTTTTTTCATTAGATAACATAGTTCTGACTGCATTACAACCAAGTTGATGTGGAATAATAGTGTATAAAGAGGTGACATCGCATGTCACAAGTATAAAATCTTGTTCCCAATAAAATCCATTTAAAAAATTTAATAGTGACATTGAGTCCTTTAGATAAGATTTCATGAGTTTGACTGCAGGTTGGAGTAGGGTGTCAATGTATTGAGATAAATTGCATAAAGGGGAATTAATTCCAGACACTATAGGTCTGCCGAGAGGGTGTTGAGCATCCTTATGTATTTTCGGCAGAAAATAAATTACCGGAATTTGGGGATTCTTAATAAATATATAGTCAAATTCTTTTTTCTTCAAAATGTTTTCTTCTAATCCCTTTTGTAAGAAGGTATTTAATAATTGTTGTATGTCTGGTGTTGGGTCATTGGATAATTTTTCGTATACATCAGTATCATTCAGTTGTCTGTAAGCTTCTTTAATATACATAGCACTTGATTGGATAACAAGACCCCCACCTTTATCTGCAGGTTTAATAACAATGTCTTTATCTTCTTGGAGTTGTTTCATTGCTGTTTTTTCTAATCTATTTAAATTTTGGGTGTCATATTTGCTATACTTGATCTTATTAAAATCTTTTAGTACGGATTTTTCAAACATCACAAGAGGGGCTGATTTAAAATTATAAGGATAAAAAGTAGATTGAGGTTTTAAATCTGTATTAATGTATGTAGGTGTATCTGTAGGGATTTGAGAGGAAGGAAGGGGGGGATTAGTGTTAGCGTCATGTGAATTATAAAATCTTTTTAGAGTAGCTTTGCGTATAAATTTATTAACATCTAAAAATGCCTCAAATGGTTTAAAAGAGTTGGTCGGAGCATATTTTAGCCCTTTACTTAAAACTGAAATTTGTGCTGCACTTAAAACTTTTCGTGATAAATTAAAAATGCCGATGTCTGATTCTTTGGGGGCAGTTATTGTCTTTCTAGTCTCTCTTTTTTGTTGTCTTCTACCACTTCGTTTGCCTCTGGGCTTAGAGGTCTTTTTTTGGTCCTTATTGGGTACGGTGTGTTTGTGAAAGTGTGTGGATGTGTCTGAATCTCTAAAAAATGATCATCACTATCTATTTCTGAATCAATGGATAGTAGTTGGTACCTGTTTGTATGTGAGATAGGAGTCGCTGAGTGATTCTTGTAGTAGTGACTGGGTTTGTGAGTTTTAGGTGAGTGATTTTGGATATCTGGGCTCCGTGCGTTGTAGTAGTTGTGACGAGAGTCATAGTGTGTGGAGGTGTTGTTGAAAGTTCTACGTGGTTTGAATGATGTAGCCCT